TTCATTCATTTGAATTTGACCAGAAAGAGACAGACAGAGAGAGAGAGAGAAAGTGAGAAAGCAAGATCCAGGATTCGAACCATGGTCAGCTATGTGGGAGTGTCTAGTGCCTTAATCACCACGCCACCTAAAACAATTCTTTAAAAAAGAAAAGGATACTTAACAGGTAAATCCACAAAACCTGACAAATGGTTATCTCCAGCAGGGGATGAGGAAGAATCTACCATCTGGAAGGAAGAGAAGCACCCGGAATGCTGACGCCCCTCCACGCTCTGCAGATGGCCTTTCCAAACCCTTCTCAGCACAGCACTCTGAAAGGACAGCTCACGGAGACAGAACCTATCAGGCATCCCTGTCCTGGAATCACACTGTCTATGAATGGAGTGAGAAACCATATTTACTATTTTATTTATGTTACTTATACTTGTTTCAAAAACAGTACTGCCTGTGGCCAGCACATGGCCTGGTGGTTAAGGCGCTGGACTCCCACACAGCTGTTCAAGTCTGTCTGTTCAAGTCCCAGACCTGCCCCCTGTCTCTCTCTAGTGAGTTCATGTGCCCTATAGCAAAATTTTTAAAAATAGTAAATAATAGGAACCGGCAGGTGGCGTGGTGGTTAAGGTGGCTGGACTCCCACATGGTTGACTGCTGTTTGAGCCCCAGACCTGGCAGCTTGCTTTCTCACTTTCCTTCTCTCTCTCTGGTCAACTTCAAAAAATAAAAAATAATGACAATAAACAAAATAATTAAAAGTAATAATGAGGGAACCAGCAGTTAGCGTAATGGCTATGTCGCTGGACTCCCACGTAGTCGACCGCGGTTCGTGTCCCGGACCTGGTGGCTTAGAACTCACGCCGGGCGCGTGTGCGTGCGTGCCCAAGATCCCGAGAGGAGAATGGAGGAGAAGGGATTGCGGCGTGACCATCCCCCCTGGGGGGGGATTTCTCGCTTTCTGTCTCTATGTCTCTCTCTGTCTGTCTGGCGAGCGCACGCGCCCTATAGCGAAAATCTCTCCAAAAAAAAAAAAAAAGTAATAATGATAAATAAAATTAATAATTGTTTTTTAAAACTACTGCTTTATTTTTTGCAATAAATCAATAACTAGAGAAGAAAACTGCCCAAGGGAAAAAAAAATTGCCAAATGACTAATGCTCTTTCTGCATTAATTTTTGTGTTTTTCAATAGGGGTCCTCCAAGGGGAGCCAGAATGATCTTTCCAAACACAAATCTGTCTCATCCTACTTTCCCGCTTAAACCCTACAATGGCGGGACCGACAGGCAGTGCGGTGGCTGGTGCATAAGACTCCACGTGGCCGACCTTAGCTCAGGTCTCGGACCTGGCAGCTTGTTTTCTCACTGCCTCTCTCTCATCAAATTAAAATTAAATTACATACCATCTTACTATAAAAGCAGAACAGCATAGGCTCTGGAGTCTAACTCCCCAGATTTTTTTTTTTTTGGAGAAGTTTTCGCTATAGGGCACAAGTGTTTGCCAGACAGAAAGAGACAGAGACAGAAAGAGAGAAATCGCCCCCCAGGGAGGATGGCCACACCACAATCCCTTCTCCTCCATTCTCCTCTCGAGGTCTTGGGCACACACACACACACGTGCCCGGCGTGAGTTTAAGCCACCGGGTCCAGGACTCGAACCGAGTTCGACTACGTGGGAGTCCAGCAACATAGCCATTACGCTAACTGCTGGTCCCATCTGCGGATTTTTTTTAACCCAGTCTTTGCCGTTTACTAACTACAACATGTGGTAAACTACCTGGCCTTTTAGTGCTTTGGTTTCCTCATCTGTAAAACAGAAGGTGAGGATAATACCTGGAATACTTAGCACACATCGGTACCAATCATGTTGATGTTACTGTCACAGGTTACTATGGTACATATATACTGCGTGTTGACATGTTAATGACATCTATTATTACTGTTGTTATCTGACTGCCATCATCTCCATCTGCATACTTTCACAGTATGCAAGGTCTACTGGTCTAGAAGTTTTTCAAAAAAACCCGCATCTCCCCACTCAGGGCTTTCCACTCACAGCTCCCTCTGTGTGGAACACACTCCTCACGCCCTGTGCCTACTCAGTCCGTCCTTCACGATTCAGCTTACCACTCCATCCCTTAGGAAGGTCTCCCTATCCCCCAGCCCTCAGCCAAAACTCGGCCAGACTCCCCAGTTCTTCCAGAGTACTGTCATAGTCTGGACTGACATATATTATTTGACCAATTACTCATGTACTCTCTCCTACTAGCCCGCAAACTCTACGCGGGAAGGGCCTACGCTGACTCGGCTCACTCCTGATCTCCAGAACCTAGCACATAGACCATAAATACTTAACAGGATAAAGAAAACTACTACCAGGCATAAGAGTCTGTAGTTTTTTTGTTTTTTTAAAGAATTCAATATTTCAGCAGCAGCAGATAGCATAATGGCTACATTGCTGGATTCCCATGTAGACAACCATGATTCGAGCCCTGGACTTAACGGCCTAAAGCTCACACAAGGAGTGTGTGCGAGTTTGCCAAAAATCCCAAGAGAATGGAGAAGTGACTGGGGCATAGCCACCCTCCCAGGGAGTGATTTCTCATTTTCTGTCTCTGCCTCCTTGGCAAGCACATGCACCCTATAGCAAAAATCTCTCTTTAAAAAATGAATTAGGGGGACCAGTGGTTGGTGTACTGGCTATGTCACTGGACTCCCATGTAGTCAATCAGTTTGAGTCCCGGACTCAGTGGCTTAAACTCACACCAGGCGTGTGTGTATGCGTCCCCAAGATCCCGAGAGAAGAATGGAGAAGAAGGAATTGCAGCGTGGCCATCCCCCCTCAGGGGGGATGATTTCTCGTTTTCTGTCTCTGTCTCTGTCTTTCTGGTGAATGCTATGTGCCCTATAGCAAAAATCCCTCAAAATAAATAAATAAATAAATAATGGGGGGCCAGCAGGTGGCATGGTGGTTAAGAGCAATGGACTCCCACATGGCTGACTGAGGTTTGAACCCCAAAACTGGTGGCTTGCATTCTCATTTTTTCTCTCTCACACTCTGTCCTTCTGTGGTTAAATTAAAAATAAATAAATAAATAAATAAATAAAGTTAATTAAAATAAAATGAATTAGGGGCCAGCAGGTAGCATGATGGTTAAGGATGTTGGATTCCCACATGACCAACCATGGTTTGAGTCCTAAGCTGGTGGCTTGCTTTCTCACTTTCCCTCTCTCTCTCTTACTCTGTCCCTCTCTGGTCAAATTAAAATAAATAAATAATTAAAGTTAAATAAAATAATTCTTTTTTAATATAATGAATTAAGGGACCAGCAGATGGCGTGATGGCTATGTCACTGGACTCCCATGTAGTCGACTATGGTTCAAGTCCTGGACCCGGTGGCTTAAACTCACACCTGACATGTGTACATGCATGCCCAAGATCCCGAGAGGAGAATGGAGGAGAAGGGATTGTGGTGTGGCCATCCCCCCTGGGGGGTGATTCCTCGCTTTCTGTCTGTCTGTCTGTCTCCATCTTCCTGGTGAGCACATGCGCCCTATAGCAAAAACCTCTCAAAAGAATTAAATATATTGGGACTGGTAGTTGTTACAATGGTTACGTCACTGGATTCCCATGTAGTCAACTATGGTTCGAGTCCCGGACCCAGCAGCTTAAAACACACACCAGGCACATGTATATGCATGTCTAAAATCCTGAGAGCAAAATGGAAGACAGGGATTGCGGCTTGGCTACCCCCTGGGAGTTGATGTCTCACTTTCTGTCTGTCTCCGTCTCTCTGGGAGTGCACGCACCCTAGAGCAAAAAACTCACCTAAAACAGAATTAAATACTTTGGGGCAAGCAGATGGCTTAGTGGCTACATTGCTGGACTACCACATGGCTGACCATAGTTCAAGTCCTGGACCCAGGGGCCTGAAACTCACGCTGGGTGCACGCCCGTGTGTGCCTAAGATCCCAGGATGAGAATGGAGAAGGGACTGCAGTGTGGCCATCCCCCTGCAGGGTGATTTCTGACTTTCCCTCTTATTGTCTCTGTATCTCTCTCTCGGGCAAGCACACACATCCTATGGCAAAAACTTCTTAAAAAATTCAATTTTTCATTTCACTTTTTTTATTTTTTTGCCACAGAGCATATACACTCACCAGAGAGAGAGAAAGAAAGTGAGCCGCCAGGTCCAGGACTCGAATCTCAGTCAGTCAGGTGGGAGTGCAGTGTCTTTGCCATTTACTAACTGCCACCTAGCCACCTGCTGGCCCCCAAGAGAATTTTTTTCATTATTTAATTTTATTCATTATCATTATTATTATTATTTGGAGAGGTTTTCACTATAGGGTGCGTGCACTTGCCAGACAGACAGAGAGAGACATAGAGACAGAAAGCGAGAAATCACCCCCCCAGGGGGGATGGTCACGCCGCAATCCCTTCTCCTCCATTCTCCTCTCGGGATCTTGGGCACGCACGCACACATGCTCGGTGTGAGTTTTAAGCCACCGGGTCCGGGACTCGAACCGCGGTCGACTACGTGGGAGTCCAGCGACATAGCCATTACACTAACTGCTGGTTCCGTATTATTATTATTTTTAATTTGTTACAGGGCACATATGCTCGCCAGAGAGAGAGAAAGAGAAAGAGAAAATAAGAAGGCAAGCAACCAGGTCCGGGACTCAAACTGCATGGACCACGTGGAAGTCTGGTGCCTCAACCACCATGCCACCTGTTCTCCCCAAGAGAATTTTTTTTAAGTGCTAAGTATAAACAACTGGTAATACATATTATCTTTTTTTTTTTAACAAAAAGAAATATTACATAGTTACAAAGGTATTTTTAATTCAAAAAGCATAAAACATGATTTATTCATTTAATGGGGAGATCGGTTTGGGTTGTTTTAACTTATAAACCAGAGACCACCTAACTGAAACCTGCAATTCACTAGACAAAAAAGAAAACTGAACAACAAAAAAAACTTTAAAAGTCAAGATGAAATGCTTACTTGGGCATTGTCAGGCTCTTCTTTAATTTTGTCCACAAGCCCCTGCTGTGGTGTCATTGCTTTGCCACAGGCACCATCCAAAGGTTCTTTCATTCTAATATTTTATGCAAAGGGGTTCCACCATCTAAAACTAACAGATTTCTTCTTGGCAATGGAGAGTGGATTCCTAAAATACAAGGTAAAAGATTTGCACTCAAGTTTGTCTTTTTTTTTTTTTTTTTAATTCTTCATATTTATATTAAAAACTCTGACTTACTCATGGGGCTTCAGGTCTGAGCATCTGAAAAGAAAATCTTCCAGGGCTATGACTAATGGTTCTCCTTTCTTGCTGCTTTCTACTTCGGTAGCTACCTTAGCAGTCAGGAAAAGTCTGCAATAGCTCCCACTTTCCCAATATCTTTAAAGACAAGCACTTGGGAGGCTGGCAGGTGGCGGGGGTGGTTAAGGTGTTAAGACTCCCACATAACCAACCATAGTTGGAGTCCCAGACCTGGCAGTTTGCTTTCTCACTTTCCTTTTCTCTCTTTCTCTCTCTTTCATTCACTCACTCTGTCCCTTTCTGGCCAAATTAAAAATAAATTAAGAAATCGGGATCAGCAGTTAGCATAATGGCTATGTTGCTGGACTCCCAAGTAGTCGACCATGATTCTAGTCCCGGACCCCGTGGCTTAAACTCACGCGGGGTATGTGGCCTACGTGTCCAAGATCCTGAGAGAAGAAAGTTGGAGAAGGGATTGCGGCATGGCCATCCCCCCTGAGGGGTGATTTCTCACTTTCTCTCTCTCTTTCTGGTGAGTGCATGCACCCTATAGCAAAAACCTCTACCAAAAAAATGAGAAAAAAAAATGAATAAATAAATAAAGCTAAATAAAATAGTTTTTTTAAAAAATAAATAAGACAAGCACTTGGGTCTTTTTAAATCAAAGGTCAAGGCCGATTAAACTAGCAGACCAAGACATGGGAGGAAGTTAATAAGTTCGGAGAGGATGGACTCAAGAAATACAGTTTCTGACTCCGTGAGAATTCGTCCTCGAAGGCGCACGTCGGCTTGCACTGGGCTTGCACTGCTCGAGGGCGGCACGTTCACCTCCCACCTCACCTCTCAGCCTTCGGTGGAGGCCTCCGAGGGAGCCCGTTCCTGGCCTGATGCTCGCGCCGAGCTCAGGACGCTTCCCATGAGCAGCAGGCACGCCTCGCCTAGAGCAGGCCACCTGCCCCTTTCAGGGTTGCGCTGGACGAGGCGCTCGGGGACCCGCTTCCTATCGCTTTCCTGTAAACAGGACTCTGGGCCATTCATTAGACTGCCTTCCGCTCAAGAGTATACGCACTAGACGGGCGCCCTAAACCTGAGGCGAAAAGCAAGCTCCCCGAAGTTGCCTTGTCCCACGGGACCCCGCACGCCGCCGGCAGCTGGTGGAGCGCTGGGCCGCCGGAGAACTTGCGGCCACTCGTCCGGCCGTAGCAACCTACGGG